TCAACTTCAGTATTAGGCATTTAAATGACTCAAGGCAATGTGAGACTTGCTCCCACAGAGGGTTGGGGGGAAGGAGAATGTGGGACACCCTCCCACGGGGAGTGGGGGCGGGCAATGTGGAACATGCTCCTGTCGGGGCGGGGAATGTGGAACTTGTTCCCACAGGGAGTTGGAGGGCAGATGGATATGGGACACACTCCCACGGGGCGTTGGTGGGGGGCAGAGGATGTGGGGCTCACTCCCACAGGGAGTGGGGAGGGAATGTGAGACTGGCTCCCATTGGGAGCTGGTGGTGGTTGAGGCGGGGCGTGTTTGCAATGTGAGACTTGCTCCCTGGAGGGTGGCAGGGAGGAATGTGGGAGCGAGTCCCACAGGGAGAGGTCGAGTGAATTGAGTCGATATTTTGGGGACAGGGGAACTTGACAAATACATGAGGGAGAGAAGGAGATGCTGATGGAGAGGGAGAGATGATGGTAGGAGGAGGTCAGTGTGGAGCCGATACAGAGCAGAGAGGCCGAATGACATTTCCCTGCAGCATAAAATGCAGAATTTTAGTGTAAATTGGTGAGAAGCAGCTGCATTAAATGGATCCCAAACAATAGATAAGGACAGTGAGGCCTTTGGCAAAATAATGTTCTGTAACTGAGGGGCCAGGGTTTAAAATGAGCAGCATATTCCACAACCCTGCATATTACAGCAATTACAGCAAAATTTGCATTTCTTGACTTGACTCATTCGCTTCTGTCGCAGCAACATGGAAGCCTGGAAAAGATGGAGACCAAACAGTCAGAATGTTCCAGAAAGAAAGTGGCTCCCGCTCCCTTTGACACTACACCAATTGTGCAATGTCATTCACTGGCACGGAGAGCCCACAAATCTTCAGCAACTTTCATCACCAAACAGCTGACAGAGAATTTTGTTTTATTGTTGTTAACGTAGGAAACAAAGCTGCAAATTTGCGCACAGCAAGCTCCCTCAAATTGAGAACATCTGGATCATATGTTATTAATCAATACTGACAATCCGGCAGCACGGCACTCCCTGAGCATTGACCGTCCAACAGTGCAGCGCTCCCTCAACACTGACCATCCGACAGTGTGGTACTCCCTCAGCGCTGACCTGTGACAGTGCGGCGCTCCCTCAGTACTGACCCTCCGACAGTGCGGCCCTCCCTCAGCACTGACCCTCCGACAGTGCAGCGGTCCCTCAGTACTGACCCTCCAACAGTGTGGTGCTCCCTCAGTACTGACCCTCCAACAGTGTGGTGCTCCCTCAGTACTGACCCTCCGACAGTGCAGCACTCCCTCAGCACTGATCCATCTGACAGTGCAGCACTCTCTCACCACTGACCCTCCGACAGTGCGGCGCTCCCTCTGCACTGACCTCTGACAGTTTTGGCCCCTTATCAAATTGTGAAGTCAAATGAAATGTTGGTATGTGTTTCAAAACTGAATGGACGACAAAATAGGAAGGTTTTGCGAAACCTATACACGATTCTAGTCAGACCACAGCTAGAATATTGGAAGCAGTTTTGAATGACTTATCTTAGCATAGAGACACTGGCATTGGAAGAAGTCTAGAAAAGATTTATTCGGCTAGTATTGGGGGCATTGTATTTTGAGGAAAGCTTGAGTTGATTGGTCTTGTACTGGTTGGAAGATAGAAGAATGGGAGGTGACCTTATTAAA